CTTTGGGGTTTGTAGTCTTTGTAATTACGTATTTTCACAGTCTTATACCTCAACGGTTTTACATCAAACTGCGACTTTCTTTACTTTAAAATGTATCTTTTAAATTGACGAACATCATATGTGTAATTCAGGGCACAATTCAAACGAGATCAAAATATTTGTTGTCACTCGCCACTGACTACCATTCAATATTTTTCCGAAATAAGGTCCCATGGTGGTCGACCGGAAGGGGAGGGACTTATGGTGCGTTCTATTATAGCCAACGAACCGACTCGGACCTCGGATTTGACGTCACGTCCACACTTCAAGTGTTCTGTTTTGCGCGTCCGAGTCTGAGAAAAAAATGGACGCCACCCGGAAAGCATAATGGTAGCACTGGCCGAGTACCAGGCACTTACATTAAAAAAAAAATTATTATGACTACACCTTATTAATTTAAAACGCAGCTATTTGAACTTGAAAATGTTCACTTTATTAATGTTTTATGTTAATCTTCTGTTAGCAACGTCAGTAATTGCACTCACAACAACCGATTCCCATACCTACAGGGGACGCAGTAATACGAGTGATTATTCCCGATTATTACCGTCATTTAAAATACCAAAGCGGTTCAAAAACAATGAAAACAATTCATTCTTACAAGTCACAGGGCACAGCCATCTTGAATTCCGAAACGGAATTCTTGCTCGGTGTCCTCACGGTTGTCCGACGTCCGAGAGGAGAAATCCGAGGAAAGGGGGCGTGTTGCTAGGCAACGTCTGTCGTCCGATTCGGATCTCCGAGACGGATGAATAATAGAACGCACCATTAGGCTCTCTATAGAGAAGTCTAAGTCCCTCCCTTTCCGGTCGACTAATACGAAATTTTCGGACTCTGTGTGCAACGGCCTGAAGAGTTTTCATGTTTTGCTCACTAAATCATTCCCATGCTTCCACTTCTCTAAAATGAGAAAATGTTTATATGATTCAGACTGGTATTCGATGTGTTTAGTGTGTATGGTCTCAGTGGGCAGAGGTTAAGCTCATGCACACATCTCATTAAGCGGCCCATGCTCCGATAGCACGCAACTATGCTAAGCATGCTATTGATGACTTCCTTTAATATCGCTGCTGGCAGCATTCGGGACATTCCTCGTGGTACAGTGGGACGGGGCGTGCGTGCCGCAGTGTGTTTGAAAGGGGTGTGTGTTTGAGGAGAGCGTTTGGGTTTGAAAGGCTGCACAGACACTGTAATGTCTATGTTTCTGCAGGTGGGAGTAAGTGAGTCTATTTTGAGAGTTTTGCTTCCGAAAGCACCTCTCAGAGTGGATGAAAAAACAGAAATATGTTCATAAGGAGTTTTGAAATAGTTTGGCGACTGAAGTGAACCTTTTACATCGGCAAAATCTCGTGCTTAAGCCTCCTGGGAAAGAAAATAAACAGGAGAGGGATCGTGAGCGCTGTTGTCGAAGAAAAATTCCTTTGGCCGCAGAGTCAAAACTTTTCTCAGTCGCTTCTTTTTTACTTAAATGTCCTCGTGTCTGATGTCTAACTGGACATTTCTTTAACTGGACAACTGTATTAATTTATTTTTTACCCAGTAGAGATATTTTTCTGGTGCAAAACAAGTTAAACTCGCAGCGAATGGCATTATGTTGAGATTACCTCATAAAGTCATTTTGACTCATCCCTCATGTTTAAGCCGCTAAAAGACTTTTTTACATAGAAAAATAATAAAAATGACAAACACACAGACAGAAAAGGAAAGTGTCCCGAATCCCGATGGAAATGAGAATTTGTGTTTCATTTTAAAGGGATATATATGGGAATAATGTTGGCTTTAACAAAAATGCACTCTTCACATTAGGGTTATTGTTAACAAAACATCTTAATGGTCCTAAAATAGGTTTCATTTTCATCAATTTAAACAATAATTACTTTTTAAAAATGTAAACTTGTGACATTATTTTTTGTAACAATTCAGCAAAACACCCTAATTTTCATTACTCTACTGTGAAATCCCATATATATATATATATATATATATATATTTTTTTTTTTATATATATTTTTTAATATAATTTTTATTTAATATATATTTAATTATTAAAAACATTTTTGTTAATTAAAATAAAGCCAAAATAAATATAAATATTAGATGAAAAACTTAGAAATGTTGCCTTGGAACAGTTATAGTTTTAATCAGTCCTAAAATGATTAAAACTTAAATAAAAAATTGATTAAAGCTATCATTTGAAACAAAAAATAAAAATGACAAAGGCATATACTGTAAAAAAAAAGAAGAATTTAAAATATTATATTAGTGTATAAATACTACACACTAATAACACTGTCTCACATATCTGCTTTTATGGTGCAATCTGTGTTTATTTCCACTTTAAGAAAAGAAATCATGCCACAAACTCTTGCATCAAACCCGAAACCTTCATCATCATAATGCATTGATCTGAAATTGAGCAGACCTTTTCTTTTTATATGTTGTTTTTGACTATTGCACAATGATGCAAACATGTCCTTTGGCCTATTTTTGGAATCATCTAAACCAGATACTAGACCACAGCAGTTACACTCTTTTATTATAGAAATAACCACAAATCAAGTCAAAAGAAAGTGGTTTCAAGGATCATTTCATCCGCTCTTCAGGGATCTCTGCCCTAACATGTGTAGCTAAGAGAGCTCTATCTCCTCATCTGTGAGGAACATGTGTTAATGCTTCTGTACAAGCATGCTCTCACTGCCCATCAATGATATTTACAGCATCGGCAGTAAATCCCCATCGAGAGTTTGCAGCCCGCAGCTGCTGTGGACAGATGTTGTGTGGCACAGAAGCTGTTGTAAACCTAACCGACCTCTCAAACGTTTACGATTGGGGACGCAAACCAACACTGTGGATGTGACGGCGGGCATGTGAGAGAACCACGGGTTGGATCAGTGCTGCTCAACCCCAAACGCTGCACATTTTCTCTGTCTCCCCAATCAAACACTCATCAGCTCATTAGGACCTGAAATGGGTGTCAGAAAGAGGAGACTTTCAAAAAGTTTGGCCGGGTCCCACAGGACAGGGTTGAGAAACACCGGGTTAGATGGACCTCCGTTTCTCCACTCCGTTGTTAACATTCCAGGAGATCGGTTTCATTTTACTGTGCCATTCTGTACAGGAAATAGGGAAGAATGTGGGCTTGTTTAATTCCTTCAACAATTCAGGTGTTTTCCATGGGCATGGACACATAATCCTCAGCTCTGTACAGACAAGGAGATAAGAATCTGGGATATTTCAAGTATTTCTTTCATTCTGCCTTAATTAGGAGGGCAAATTAGTGGCTTTACAAAACATAACCATTCAGGATTAATGTTTTTTTTTTTTTTTTTTTTTGGATATAACTTACACTAAAAGCAAAAGAAACTTTTTTTGCATTGTGATATTATTGTGATATTAGTTTCATTACTTTAAACAATATATAAAATATTATTTAAATTGTATGTATGTCATGGTAATCATTATTGTACTGCCTTTAATTTATATTGAATTAAATCACTGATTTAAGTCGGTTTAAAAATTATTGAAATTTTATTTCATAAAACATACTTTAGAAAGAATTATTACGAATAATAAAAAAAAAATTGCTAAAAAGAAAAAAAGAAAACAGGTCCAGGTTCATTACGGTACTATACTTTTTATTTAACTCTCAGATACTGCGTGTCGATTTTTACATTTTTATTTCAATTAAATGAATGTACTATATTTTATTTTGATAATTTTTTGTATATAATGTATATTTATTTAATATTTTGTATTTATGGGATTTTATGGTACTAAATTATATTTAATTTAGAAAACTTTTTAGTAAACTTTACTGTAACATGATGCATCTCTGCAAAAATGCTAAATGTTTTTTAATAATAATTATAAGATGACACTTTAGCGGTGCTTTAAAATGTCAGAAGGCAGGGATTCACAAACTTGTTTTCTCAGTTGAACTCCTTTGACCTCATATTTGAATATTATCACCCTAAGATTTTAAGTTAATATTTCATTATTAATAATGTCAAATAATGGCCACATGACATGCAGGCAAATAAATACTACTTAATATTAATGATGATAATACAATGATACAAATACTACATTTAAAGTGTTTTTTATTTAAAATTTGTATGATTTAATTAATTATTATTATTATTATTTTATTTGGTTCTGTTCTCCTATAATCCACTAGACGACATAAAACTCATCACACTTTTCTAAATATCCACGTTTCAGGATGCACATGGAAATCATGGACAGCAATTCCAATTCCAAGTCTGTTCTAATTTCATCTAATATTTAATGTTTTTTTTACAGTGTTATGTATTTATGTAATGATAATCGCTAAATAACTTAATATATTTTTAGGAAATTTTTTGTTAATGATTTTCAGTTTTGTTTAAGGTAATTAAATCAACAGTTTTTCAATAACTGAAGAAAATGTAAAAGTATTTGTGGTAAAAGTGTCCCTGCTGATATTTAATGAAATTTAATATTTAAAGTAGGGCTGTCAAATGATTAATCGCGTTTAATCGCATCCAAAATAAAAGTTTGTATTAACATAATATATGTGGGTGCACTGTGTATAATTATTTTGTATATATAAATGCACATACATGCATGCATATTTAAGACAAAATATTATTTATACATAAAATATTTATATATAATATAAATTATATATAAATCTATATACAGTTTATACATGAAAATATTTCTTAAATATACAAGCATGTGTGTGTATTTATATATGTATATAAAATAATTATACACAGTGCACCCACATATATTATGTAAACACAAACTTTTATTTTGGATGCGATTAATCGCAATTAATCATTTGACAGCCCTAATTTAAAGGTAACATGACTTGACTTGACTTGCCATGAGGCCTTTAATTATTGATTATTGATTAATTGTTAATTGTGAACTTTACCGGCAGTCCTCTCAGCATAAGGCTGTTGTCTTTTACACAGATGTGAGTGTGTGTGCCAGTAACCCGTGTCAGAACGGTGGCACCTGTGCGGAGGCTCTGAACCAGTACAAGTGCACCTGTCCACACAACTGGAGCGGGAGTCAATGTCAATACCAGACACAGACAGGTCTGTTTCTCTAATCTCTTCTACATGATGTGCCAATGGCTTAGGCTCGCTCTGAGCTTTTGCAAGTGATTAATGATGTAATGCATTCAAAAACATAGCCTATTTAACACACACCTTCATCAGGTGTCAAATCGTGGAGGACACATGCTAATTCATGCTAGAAACACGTTAACAAGAAGAATTAGTATATAGAAGAGTACTAGAATATTATAAGAGTTTAAATATTTCTTGAGTGATGTATGTCATACACAAGTGCTCAGGTTATATTACCTACGGTACAACTCTTATTATTAAAGTCAAAACTAATGTGTTCTGTTACTTTTTATTTGTTACCGTGCAATTTTAAAACAATGTTTAAGCTAATTCATTAAATTGAATTTATCAAAAAAACTCAAATATTAATGTGTAAATTCATCAAGTAATGCACTACTTTACTCGCTACATCAAAAAAGTAATCTGATTACATAATGCACGTTACTTGTAATGCGTTACCCCAACACTGCCCACTAGGTGGCAAATTTTGTGACACATTTATTTTTACTTTTTCCTGAAAATGTAAAAAAATTCTTTTGCAATTCCAAATGTGCTTGCTAGTGTAGCAGAAATTACACACTTGACCTTTAACCTGTCATCCGGTCCATAAATGAAAGCATGCATGTGAATGTTTGTTTTCATTGCTGTATATGTGAATGTTTGTGGGAGGTTAAACCTCTTCTTTTTACCATTTCCTCTCTCTATCTCTCTCTCAGCCCCTCCGGAGTGGAGTGTTATGAACGACCCGGCCTTCAGCCGCAAGCCTCGCTGTGCGAGAGTGGACCGAGCTCAACACTGCAGCTGTGACGCTGGCTTCCACATGAGCGGCACCTCCGACAACAGCATCTGTCAGGGTAGCTCCAGCGTTTTTAGCTTCAAACAACCACATACAAGGATTTTCATTACAATACATTTAATCATTTAGCAGATGCTTTTATCCAAAGGAACTTACAAATGAGGGACCTCGGCATGCGTTAAAGCAGTAAACTTTACTGTAACATGATGCATCTCTGCAAAAATGCTAAATGTTTTATTAATAATAATAATTATAAGATGACACTTTTGCGGTGCTTTAAAATGTCAGAAGTCAGGTATTCACAAACTTGTTTTGTCAGCTGAACTCCTTTGACCTCATATTATTTGAATATTATCACCCTGAGATTTTAAGTTAATATTTCATTATTAATAATGTCAATTAATGGCCACATGACATGCAGGAAAATAAATACTAAGTGTAATACTACAATCAATATTAATGATAATACAATTATACAAATTGTATAATAATATGATTTAATGAATTATTATCTTTTTTCATTAATTGGTTTTGTTCTCCTATAATCCACTAGACTGCACAAAACTCATCACACTTTTCTAAATATCCACGTTTCAGGATGCACATGGAAATCGTGGACAGCAATTCCAATTCCAAGTTGATTCTGTGCTAATTTCATCTAATATTTTTTTTTTTTTACAGTGCGTATTTATGTAGCAAACGATAATCCCTAAATAACTAATTTTAGAAAAGGTTGTGTTAATGATTTTCAGTTTTGCTATCAAGTTTTTCAATAACTGAAGAAAATGTAAAAGTATTTGTGGTAAAAGTGTCCCTTCTGATATTGGGCTGATTCAGATGGTCATATAATTTATTAATTTTGGTGTCTACCTTATAGATAATTACCATATTTAATGAAACTAGCATATTTAACAAATATAATATTACATTTTTTCAAATTGCTTACAATTTCTGAAAGTATGGCTCAATTTCTTGAAACCCTACACACGAAACCACAAAACACGCACACAACATGCAAAACATCAGTCATCTCTTGCAAAAGCAAACATCATTCAAAACTATTTTAACTCTTCAAAAATGTGTGTTTTTGCATAGTAACTTGTGTCTTTTGCTTGTTCAGTGGAGTCTACAGTAGTTTTTCACACATGTATGTGCATAAATACACTGTATATACAGGTTGCATGCACATTTGATGAATGTTACAGTTATTGAACTGAACTGAATCAACACTAGAGCCAGACCGATATATCGGCAGACCGATATTATCGGCCGATATTAGGTATTTTCCAAACTATCGGTATCGGCAGTTATAATGGCCGATAAATTAATATTTTAAAAATAAAATAAAAACGGACGAAACACGCTTGAACCATGCCATGAGTGTTGGAGTTGTGTAGTTTGTCCACCAGAGGGCACTCTACACCGTCCAGACATACATTGCTTGAATAACAATTAAAAGAACATCCCCATCAGTTCTCTCAACTCAAATAAGCATGACAAAATTTGTGACTATCATGTCCAGTTTCAAATAAATAAATAAAATATCGGCCAATATATCGGAATTTTAAAACGCAAAAATATTTGTATCGGTATCGGCCTTAAAAATCCTTTATCGGTCGCGCTCTAGAAGTGAGTTGAGCTGTATATTGGCACTATTGGCTTGTTGACCAAGCTGCTTCTCAGGCGATTTTCAATTTATTACTATTGTGAAGCTGCTGTGAAACATCTATTTTGTAGCTTAAATGTACATTCAATATAAAATATAGATATATATATTTATGTATATATTTTGAACAAGTATCAACTTAGGTGTTATGCAAAACATATTACTTTAGCTAACTGTAATTGCATCAGTACTGCGGGGCAAAAGGCCACCTCATACATTTATATCATTATCAAACAAAACGCTTTTATGATTTATTTTCCCTCAAAATTAGCTGCTGTATCAATGTTCAATAAAAAACATATTTTTCTGCAATCCTGAAAGTATTGAAAAGCACATTTCCCATAAGGCATTTTTTGTCTCGTTTCCTTTCTGTCACTCTCTCCTGTCATGTAATCATATGTTGAGTTAATATGTGTCCAGATGTGAATGAATGTGAGGTGTTTAAGGCTGACCTTGGAGGGCCTCTGTGTGGCCACGCCTGTGTAAACGTCCCGGGATCGTACCACTGTTCCTGTCCCACCGGATACAAGCTGCTCGCTGATGGAAGAAGCTGTGAGGGTGAGAGAGAAACACACACTTAAAAACAACGCTTCAGATTAGAAGTGTTTTACAGCCATTGGAAAAAGTTCAACCAAAAATAAACACTGGCGTTATTCACTCATCCATTTGCTGAAAGACCCTCTATTCTTAGTTGTATGAATCTGAATCTGAAGTGAACACACTCTGTAGAAGTCATTTGGACACCTTACAAAGACCTCCAGGGGTAAATGAAGCTGGTAGATGAAGACAAATAGTGCGGATGTGGAGGGAAATCGTTTGACTCAGTTTTTGGCTGGTGAGTTGGAGGAACGTTTGGAGAGCAAAGGTGAGGGAGTTCTTCTGGCTGGTGTTTCAGCGGGCTTGATATGAATCAATCCTACAAACGATTTCAGCTCATGGGTCCGTGTTGTCAGCAGCGCTTGACATTAATCCTCATGTGCTCTTCGGTCATTTCTGACCGAAAAATTTTCTGTTTTGAATTTATAAAATTTACAGCTTCATCGGAATGTTATAAAACTTGGTGACTTTTATGGCATTATGTATGTGAATACAAAAAAAAAAAAATTGAGGTCATGATCCAAGCATGCCAAGTGGTCGTAAAAGAAATAGTCACACTTGTGGTCTTCGGTCAAAAATGACCCCCATAGGAAATGAATGGGAAATTGAAAAAAAAAAAAAAAAAAGAATTCTCTGAATTTTTGTACGTGCAATCTACAAATCGGCCACAATTCTAAAAAAAAAAGTACACCGCAGAAAAGGGGTGACACTCTACAACATCTAGAGTGCAAAACAGACAAACCCACACACACACACATACAAACACACTTTTATACACATATGATACACACCAATAAATTTTGATTACAAATATATATACTGTATATATAAATATATATATATATATATTTTTCCATGGCAAAATAGACCATAAATATTGCATAAATATTAATAAATTCAATCAAATTGTCTCAAAATACTAAATTTCAAAGAATAAATATTATAGAACATTGCATTGCATTGCATTGGTTTTACTGGGATGGAGGAAATTTAATTTTTAGGTGTCCGGTCACTTTTGATCGGGAAGATAACAAGTGTGACTCCGAAACGAAGAGCACCTGAGGGTTAACACCCGCCACCCGTGAAAATGCTGAGTGGCGAGTAACTTTGGAAGACAACTAGTGAGTAAAAAAAGTAATGTCAAGCCCTGGTTGTCAGTGACGCTCAGTGTTGGGGAGAAAAATAAATAAATGCATTTCAGAAGTAGCATCACTGTTAAAAAATATCTACAAATAAAGTAGTTGACCTCACTAATCAACTAGCAATATTTTGGGATTTTATGTTGTGTAAATGTATGTTATATAAATGATGGTCTCTTCTTGTATTATTGGTATTTTTATATACAAATAGAAAGTTCAAAAGAACAGCATTTAATGTTTTGTAACTTTTGTCACTTTTTATCAATTTTATTCATCCTTGCTGAATAAAAGTACTATATACAATGTACTGTGCAATGATGCAGAACATTTAAATATGAGATATACATATAGAAAAATGACAATAAAAGGATACATAGATAGTCTTTAGATGTTACACAAGTAATTGAAAGGATCTTGTATGTCAAATGGGGTGTAGCTTTAGTATTTTAACACGGGTGACGGTGTGTTTAAAAGATGATCTCGCCAGGAACACGTCTACGATCACACACCTGTACGCAAATCACATTTACAGTCAAAACAAGCAGTCCCGCATGTATCCAACTCACTATTTCCCTCTACTCTTCTTCTCTTTCACTGTATTATTCCTCTGATGTCTCCTCTGCCTCCGGCGCTCCAGATGTGGATGAATGTCTTACACAACAGCACAACTGCAGCCGTGGCACCACCTGTATCAACACCGGAGGAGGTTTCCAGTGTGTGAACCCCGAGTGTCCGCGCTCGCACGGCAACGTCAGCTACGTCAAGACGTCACCGTTGTGAGTGAGCACACAAACACTAAACCGCACTGCCTACTTTACAGCATTCCTGAAGGAGAACCTGCTTTACACACACGATTATACCGTTAGCGAGCGGTGACTTCTTTAAAGGAGTAGTTCACATTTCAAAAAACGTTTGCTGATAATTTACTCACCCCCGTGTCATCCAAGATGTCCATGTCTTTCTTTCTTCGGTCGAAAAGAAATTAAGGTTTTTGATGAAAACATTTCAGGATTTTCTCCATATAATGGACTTCAATGGGAACCAAACGGTTCAAGGTCCAAATGAGAGTTTCAGTGCAGCTTCAAAGGGCTTCAAACGAGACGATAAATAAGGGTCTTATCTAGCGAAACCATCGGTCATTTAAAAAATACATAAAAAAGTTTAAGTTTTATAAGCTCAAATGGTTGCCTTGCTCTGTTCTGTGATGCGCGTTCGAGACTCTCCTGTTCAAACTCGTTCAACAAAATGAACGAATCTTTTTTCGAGTCATTTCGTTCATTGAATCGTTGAAACGTTTAAAAAGATGAAATGTTCACTATAAGTCATAATTATGAGAAAAAGTTACAATTATGAGATACAAAATTACAATTATGACATTTCTGACTTTTCCCCTCATAATTAGGACTTAGTATGTCAACATTTTTATGAGATAAAATGTCTATAATTATGACAAGTCAGTTATGGGATACAAAAATAAAATTATGACTTTCGACTTTTATCTCATAATTATGACTTGGTATGTCAATTTTCATGAAGTATAATTATCACAAAGTCACAATAATGAGATAAGTTGTCATTTTAGACTTTTTATCTCAATTTCAACTTTGTCTCAATGGCTTAGCATGAAAAAATCCTAAATTATGGCACTATGTGACACTCAATTACGACTTAATATGTCAATATGTTATGGCTTGATTTTTTTTTCTCATGTGGTGGAAGTGGGATTGCTAGTAAAGTTCTTAATTGGGACTGTGTATGTGTGTGTGCTTACTAAACACAGATCAGATGTGCAGTATTTCAAACACAGTTAATGAGGTAACGTTGATGTTCTGTCCTCCACCACAGCCAGTGTGAAAGAAACCCCTGTCCCATGGAGAGCCGGTCCTGTCCGTTCGCCGCCAAGACCATTTCTCACCACTACCTGTCCCTGCCGTCCAACCTGCGCACCCCGGCCACCCTGTTCCGCATGGCGACCGCGACGGCCCCGGGTCGGCCCGGCCCCGACAGCCTCCGCTTCGGCATCGCGGGAGGAGGAGACTCCAGGAACACGTTCGTGATGCAGCGCTCGGACCGTCAGACCGGAGAGCTGATCCTCGTCCGGCCCATGCCAGGCCCACAGGAGCTCAGCGTGGAGGTGGAGATGTCCGAGTACGCCGAGCGCACCTTCCAAGCCAAACATCTGGCACGGGTCCACCTCCTGATCTCACCCTACGAGTTCTGAGGAGAGGCGGCTTGCTGTCCAAATCTAGAGTTATGTTTAGACTCCAAGAGGAAAGAATGTTTTCCTTATTGCTAAAGCTGAATGATAGAGTTGTTCTCGAGAGGCGGCTCGGATTTTGACGTCGGGAGGATGGCGCGAAAATGAAAATATGGGAAAGTCATGCTCAAATGGAAGTCAAATTAATATTCTAAGGTAATAAGTAAAGAAAAATACTTTTGCTTTATCCTGCTGGTACATTTGCGGTTAAAGGTGAAGCGTGTAATTATTTTCTCTGTTAAAATACTTACATTTATTCGTTTTTAAAACCTGCACAAATAAAATGAATGCTGTATGTCCAGTGCAATCACAAAATAAAGCATGCATCTCAGATTCTTTTACTTGCTGTAATTAAAGCGCTAGATCATGTCATTTTAAAGATTAATAATCACATTAGGTCATATCCATCCTCAAAATTTAAGATCTCTTAAATGATAATTAAGACTTTTGTAATACCATTCAAGATATTGAATCTAACGTTTGGGGTTGCTTGCGTCACAAAAATCACACAATTGTACTCTCATTCATTCAAGAACTACAGTAATGGTCAAACATAAAAAATGCAGGGTTTTTTTTTTTACGTGGTAAGCAATAAAGCTTAATGCAAGTGGAAAAATAGTACAAGAAAGTGTATTATGCACATGTTTTAGAAAAAGAATGATGATATACAAAGATATTTATTCATTTATTCGTTTTAAAACCAAATTTTAAAACCTGCACAAATAAAATGAATGCTGTATGTCCAGTGAAATCACAAAATAAAGCATGCATCTCAGATTCGTTTACTTACTGTAATGAAAGTGTCATTTTAAAGATTAATAATCGCATTAGGTCATATCCATCCTCAAAATTTAAGATCTCTTAAATGATAATTAAGACTTTTGTAATACCATTCAAGATATTTAATCTAACGTTTGGTGTTGCTTACGTCACAAAAATCACACAATTGTACTCTCATTCATTCAAGAACTACAGTAATGGTCAAACATAAAACATGCAGGGTTTTTTTTTATGTGGTAAGCAATAAAGCTTAATGCAAGTGGAAAAATAGTACAAGAAAGTGTATTATGCACATGTTTTAGAAAAAGAAAAAAAGTGGGAATTCCTGGGAATTAACAACAAGGAGAGCTTTATGATTGGTTCAGTCAGCGAGAAAAGACCATGTGACCATGCTGTAGTGCTAGAGAATGAAAGTCTAAAGTTTAAATGAGCTAAACCTGTTGAACAGAGCGGCGAGTCGTTCCTTGTTTGTATTACCTTCTTCAGCTTCAGTAAAGTTAACTTCAGCTTGTAAATATGTGAGGTTTAGATGACTGAAATGAACAACAGCACTTCTTAGCATCTGCCTACAGTACATGAAAAATGGCCTGTTTATTATTGTTCCATTATGTATGTTGGGTGTTTTATAATAAGATCAACAAAGTCTGATTACTCAAAAGTTTCCACTTGAGTATGATATATTGCTCTTCATGTCTGCTGCTCATGCTAGTGTATATCAGGATTGGTATCTAATATTGAAATCAATGGCTATTTCACACATTATTGTGTTTTATTTCTCTGTCTTGCACACACGTGTTGAACCTTTCTTAATTAAAGTCTGAGTTTTGATCTCTTTCTCTGGTTTCTTTGATCCTCCACAGCAAATTAACAATCGATTAATCTGGGGTCAGTAAGTTTAAAAAAGAAAAAGTTAAATTAAAGACAGTCAGTAAAGATATTTATGTTAGAAAAGTTTTCTATTTCAAATAAATGTTTTTTTTAACCCTGTTCTGTCTATTCTCAATCTCATATTTTAGTTTAAATGAGTATTGAAAATCTTTGGAATCAAATATGAAGCTAACCTTAAAAATAGAGGAATGCTGGGGGCAATAATAATCAGGAAATTAAAGAGAATTCCTCAATGTGTTTTTCAATTATGTGTTTGCTAGAAAGAGAAAAGGAAAGTAATGTTGACCACATGTGGTTGGCCACCCCCTTCTCTCTATCTCTCTGTGCTTTAACTTGCAATAAGATGATCAAAAGAACCACAAGCTTCCAGAAGCACATGTTCAGGACGGATGTTTTAAATGACAATGCACTTCAACCGTAAAATCTCGGCATAATTATCGTGAAATATCTCTTCTCTCAGTCCAACGGACCACTCTGAAGCTTTCTGAAGGTTTTAAGTACAGTAGGATTTGCCAAAGAAAACTTAAGAGCCAAAGACATCATTTAACTTTCACTACATGAAATAAACATGGACAATTTGAGGGAAGAAGAGATAAGCAAACATTTAAACGAAAGGAATCATTTACTCACATGTTGTAAGCCTGAATTTCTGTCTTCCTTTGGTGGACAACAGATGGTTTTCAGGAATGTTCAAGGTGCTCTTTTCCATCCACTGAAAGCATATAGAGAAAAAAGCATTAATGTTCTCACAAAACAATCTTTCAATTTCATCATACAGTAGCTTTGTGTGAGGAACTCACTGTAATTCAGCAATAGTATGCAGTAAACACCTACTGTTTGAGAGATTGAGTTGTGCATGTTTTTGTTAGTCATTATTTTGGACTGGGATATAAAATAACAAGAGAAACAATAGGAGGAAAATGTCATGCATCAGTAAAACCACATGTGTTTGCCATTGGAAAAGTAGATTGTTATCTTCCCTGTGTTTAGTTCTGGTCATGGTACAGTTGTGTTTGTTTGTCATGTTCCTTGGTTTAAGACTCAAAGTTCACGGATTAGCTGAAAGAGTCTTATACGGACTTGTGCTTGTTTTGAGAGGAGAAAAAGCTGTACACTTTCCCCTTCATTTTATCAACAAAAACAATAAAACATGATGCTGAATTAACAGAATGAAAAGCCAATTCTATTTAAAAACACTTTTACGGGAAAATTGCTCTAGATTCCTCAAATTATAAATTATAACATTTCTAAATCATACCAAAATTATCAGTATTACATCCATAGTTTTGATCAAGTAACGTTATATGAAAAAGTGCGGTAACTTACTTACCATTTGGTTAGGGATGCCCCCTTGTGGCTTCACTGAAAATAGATGAAAATAATAAATAAAACATTTTAAAGGCCTAGTTTCACAGACAGGGCTAAGAGCTCAGCGTTTATAAACCTTTTTTTAACTGGTGTTGTGCATCTTGAGACAAAACAATGATGGTAAGTCTGTCCGTCAAAGCCTTTTTATCCGCGGTAAATTCAAAATGGCGTCTAACCTGACTAACGTTGACGAGGAACGAAAATAGAGACTCCACTGCACCGAGTATATTTGTTTGTTTACTAATTAAACGCTCATTGCGATGAAGAATGTGTTCATTCACGAAACTCTTCTCAGAGAAATAGTAATACTTGGTAAAGTATTTACTAATCTAAAAGAATGACCTTCATTTACAAGCTTATCTTTCATAGAATAGACTAAATGAAATGACAATGTCATGGTCAATCATATTATCAGATGTGTTCTCACCTTCAGGACAATGTGAACCCTATTAAACAACATATGATAATAAAACCCATAACAACTCGACGCCTCCGAACTCACGATTTGACTACTAAAGAGTCTTTATTGCAACCCACATTGTTTGTGAATGAAAGATGGACAGACAAGACCTGAGCCTTATGGGACACCAAATGTGCTTTGCTCTTTGAATAATCCTCTGAGCTCACATGCGAGGAGACTAGCTGATTGTTAGCAAACAGAAAAGGCAATGAAAAACACCATAAACTAAAGCGTTTTATGAAGCAAACAAAACAGTAATGAACATGAAGGACACAAATGACCTTCAGCATCATACAGATAAATTAAGCACACCGCATCCCATGAACAAAAGAAACCACAATAACTTAAAGTGCGCTTTATAATATACACAATTCATAAGTTATTTCACATGTTTCGTTTCATCTCAAGGACACATAAAGGAAATAAAAAGACATATTTCGGAAGTGTAACAGTCATCCTGCAAGGTAAAGCACACATCGTTCTGTTAAGCAGACATGTCACAGAATGTCCAACCGAGACCAGGGCCGATTTTACTGTGTTACCGCAGAACAAAACTCAAGAACAGAAGTGTCTTAAGGCTTCAGTATGCATCTACACACAGATCCAAGAGTCGTACGCTTTTCCTCAAAAAGAAAAATAAACATGTAAAGGAATATTTCACCAAAAATGACTTAAAATGTTGTTTCAAACCCATATAACTAGATTTCTTCCATGAAATGCAAAAGCTGCACGCCTTTATGCTACTTAATTGCCTACAAGTTCAAGCTCAAGAAAATGCATCTCATGCGCTATATTCCAACTCAATAGTTTTGTGAGGAACAGACCAAAATATAAGTTATTCACTGCTCTTAAATCTCATTCACAAAAGTTTTTAGATTGCATGATGTGAGAATGCTGCAAAGACGAAGGTTTTTGGCCAATAATGGCTTAAATTTAGCTTTGTTCCTCACAAAAAAACTATCAAATGATTTCAGAGTCAGACAAGTCGTATGCACTACTAAATTTTCTTTCAGAACTTTCTACGGTAGGAATATGAGGCCAAATAAATAATAACAATTTGGATTTCGGAGGAAAAAGTTGAGCCGGGCTCTGTGCAAAACAAAAAACAACTTCATACAATTATTCAGAATATTTATGAAAAATTAAGAATCATTCTGCGTATTTAAATTACTCCCTGCACAAATACAAATTCGACACACCGACAGACATTCTACTATTCACATCATGAGCTGAAATTATAGACGAAATGTTTGAAATAACACTTTATAAACAGCCAAAGAAATGAAGACGACGCTTTGGTCAACTTGAAGTTCCTTATCAATGTTTTTCAATATCAAATGACACTCACACAAAACAAACCCATTTGAATAATACATAATCTCTGCATATGATCAGTTGCTCATCACGAAAGTTTAGAAACATAGACCGTCGTCACTTTATACAGATCAATGTTGACTTTAAAGTCTTCTGGACGTTTGAACAGTTCAGGAAAAAAAGAGGCATCACCTCACATAAAGTTCAGGTAGTACGGCGTCTAGATCATCTAGAGTGCGTCCACCTCGTCAGCACGATTCTTTCAATGTTCCCAAAACCCACCAACCAAACGGACCAGATGAAGAGTCTGTGGCTCTCTGGTGAGGGTCAGAGGCCAGGGATAGGAACAGCGGTTTGGTTGATCTCTGGAGCTTTGCTTTCACATCCTCACTCCATTTTAGACATCTCATACTTTGTGGTCATGATCTCCTGTTGAAAATCATGTATTAATTCATCAAATTATATATGTAAATGTGACAGAAATACATAAACAATGCATGCGGCTATGTCTAATGCACATTTCTTTTCAATTTACAATCAGCTTTTCATTTTTATTTAATTTCCAACATTAATACCTTGCTGTTCTGTACCACACTGCATACAATGATGCAATATAATGGCATCATGTGATGACTCATTATTTTGTCTACCCTACGAATCCCATTCCACCAGCAGAAAACAGTAAGAAAAAACTAAAAGCTACGGTATAATTGAAATGAGTATACCTACCTCATCTGAGTCGAGAAGAACAGGAAGAGCTCTGAGAATAAGAGACATGAAAAATTAGAAATTGACATGGGAAGTTTTTTTCTTGTAGAGAGCAGAGGGTGTGTGTGTGTGTGTATGTGGGTATTTAAGGGTATGTATGTGTGTAAAACAGAAAATGACCTACACATCAGAAAGAGAGGTAGGAATATTGTCCTCCACCCACTTCAAGTCTTCATCCTGCAACAATCAAATTATTCTTGTTGCATGAATAATTATTACATTTATTGATATTTATTATATTTGTATTATGGACAGGATATATATATATACTGTATATATATGAAGAGTTCAGATGCAAAAGCCTCTAAATGCCATTTGAAATTTTCTTCTAAAATGATAATTTTTATCAAGCTTGTATATTTAAGTTCAGTAATTTCACTTAAATTGCAATAAAGATTACCTATTAATTGTCATTTAAGTGAAATTACTGAACTTAAATATACAAGCTTGATAAAAAATATCATTTTAGAAGAAAATTTCAAATGGCACTTAGAGGCTTTTGCATCTGAACTCTTCATATATATATATATATATATATATATATATATGAGTTGCACGATTAATCGTTTAAAGATCACAATCTCGATTCAAACACCTATGTGACGATCACAACTGAACATTCAAATCTGCATTCACACCGACACTAACCCAGAGAGAGCAGTTGTCATGTATAGGTACTGTATAAAACAACTTCACAAACAGTCTTACACTAATTCATATTAGTGTAAGACTGGGATAAAATTGTATAACTCGGATATAAACACTGATGTCTATAGAAGTGATCAAAGTAGAGCAAATCACCTTTTGAAAGTAACTTGATGCCTGAAATAAAGATTGTATCAATTACATTATTACACCAGTAGGTGGCGACAAGTGACTGGTAAAAAAAGGCAAATTATCAGCATCAGAAAGATTTCTTATTATTGTTATCAATGTTGAAAACATGGAAAACCCTGATACATTTTTTCATGATTCTTTGATGAACAGAAAGTTCAAAAGAACAGCATTTAAATAAATAAATAAATAAACA